CGCATTAAACAAAACAAACAGATGACACTTTAGACTTTTTTATTTCCTACAAGGACGACTCACTGCACACTGAGTAATAATGTGTTTAATGCAGCTTTGACACATTTGTTTACGTTTTACAGAAACAAAACTTAAAACTACATTAAAAAACTTTAAAAAAAAACGTTTGAAAAAAAACAAAACATCTCTTTCCTTGTGTCGCTGATACAGTTCAGCTTTTGTTGGACTAAAAGACACGACTCAGTGGAATATGAGGGAAAATCAGTTCAGGGTCAGTGACATGACCAGAATTAAGGCCCCGTTCACACTAGTGTGTATGTGAGTGGTTTTGTTGTGTGTACAGTGTTCGTTCACATTAATCCAATGTTAAACGTCTCCAGAGTCTGAACGACCTGGTGCCTCCAGCTCCACGAGTTCATGTTGGTCCTGATGTGATGGGGACTGTGGGACTCCTGAAAACTCTGATACTCTGATGTAGGAGCTGGAGTCTCGTCCTGATTGGACACGTCACTGTGACTCGCTCCTTCTGATTCTCTGGGTTCATGACATCGTCATGTGATGATATTGAGGAAAACAGTTTAAACAAACCAGAGACAAACTGAACCTCGTCATCGGTCTAAGAAAAGACGGTTTTGATGCTTGAAATCTTCCTCGGCTCGAAATCAGCTGCTGCGACTTCAGACACAGTGAAGGACCTGGTGTTTTTCTCCCTACGTAAGCATAAAAACTGCAACTTTTGGACGTGTAACTTTTAGAATGTAACAGACGCTCCAGACGTTCTAGACGCTCCAGACGTTCTAGATGCTCCAGACGCTCCAGACGTTCTAGATACTCCAGATGCTCCAGACGTTCTAGACGCTCCAGATGCTCCAGACGTTCTAGATGCTCCAGACTTTCTAGACGTTCTAGACGCTCCAGACGTTCTAGATGCTCCAGACGCTCCAGACGTTCTAGATGCTCCAGACGTTCTAGACGCTCCAGACGTTCTAGATGCTCCAGACTTTCTAGACGTTCTAGACGCTCCAGACGTTCTAGATGCTCCAGACGCTCCAGACGTTCTAGATGCTCCAGACGTTCTAGACGCTCCAGACGTTCTAGACGCTCCAGACGTTCTAGATGCTCCAGACGTTCTAGATGTCCAGACGTTCTAGACGCTCCAGACGTTCTAGACGCTCCAGACGTTCTAGACGCTCCAGACGTTCTAGACGCTCCAGACGTTCTAGATGCTCCAGACGTTCTAGATGCTCCAGACGTTCTAGATGCTCCAGACGTTTTAGATGCTCCAGACGTTCTAGACGCTCCAGACGTTTTAGATGCTCCAGACGTTCTAGACGCTCCAGACGTTCTAGACGCTCCAGACGTTCTAGACGCTCCAGACGCTCCAGACGTTCTAGACGCTCCAGACATTCTAGACGTTCTAGATGCTCCAGACGCTCCAGACGTTCTAGACGCTCCAGACGTTCTAGACGCTCCAGACGTTCTAGATGCTCCAGACGTTCTAGATGTCCAGACGTTCTAGACGCTCCAGACGTTCTAGACGCTCCAGACGTTCTAGATGCTCCAGACGTTCTAGACGCTCCAGACGTTCTAGACGTTCTAGATGCTCTAGACTAGGGGTGGGCAAACTTTTTGACTCATGGGTTCTAAAATTTGACGAAAGGGCCGGACCAGGAGCAAATGGATGGAGTTTTTGATAATCCACCTCATAAGAGAAAAAGCTAACATGGAATATACAGGAAACATATTGAAATATTGAAATATTCCATAATTGAAAATCATTACAAAACATTACAACAAAATATCTGTCTTTCAAGTCCCATGGTATTTGGTATTTATTGAAATTACTTTTAAAACACTGTAAATGATCATTATTATTATTATTGTTGTTATTATTATTCAAGTTTGGCGGGCTGGATTAAAAAGATTAAAGGGCTGCATATGGCCCCCGGGCCATAGTTTGCCCACCCCTGACAGAAGGTAAATACAAGTGTGTTCTGTTAGTTTCTCAAACCACTGAACGTCTCAGTCGAGTTTGATCGACTTTACACTGACAAACACAGAGTCAGTGCTGCGCGTGTTGGTCCTGCTGCAGCTGCAGGTGGAGTCGTCTTCACGTCGTCGCGCGGCGGTGGTTTGGTGAGGTGACGTGTGCAGTGGAGCCAGACCCCAGCAGAACATCCCTCTGTCACAGAGAGAACATTCATATTCCACTGAGTCGTGTCTTTAGTCTGACAGAACCTGAACCACATCAGCAGCACAAGGAAAGAACTGTTGTTGTTGTTAACGCTTATAGTTTATGCAAATGAGTCATGTGGTTTTGAGTTTTGTTTCTATAAAACAAAAACAAATGTGTCAAAGCTTCATTAAACACTTTATTACTCAGTGTGTATTTGAGGTGGGGTCAGTCCTATCATCAGAAGAGCCTCGAGTCAGAACATCCATGTTCAGGTCGTGTTACAAATTGTTACAAATGAAATTGTATTTCAAGTTTTAAATATTTTAAAAAGTAAATATTAAAAGTAATAAATATATTAAACCCTTAAAATACAGCAAAAATGTTTGAGGAAATAATGATTTGGGTGGAAATGGCTTAAGTCTTAAGTGGAACAGGGTTAATAATTGTCTGATTTTCAGGCAACAACTTGGAAAATGTCGAGCTCCACAACCTTCATTTCAATTTTATTTTAAATCTTTTTCTTTTAATAAAGCATTGGTGGTTTGTAAACCAACAAATGAAGTCATGTTGGCCTTAGCTGATGCTGTTATACATGATTATGTGTTTTCCTGTTAATATCTCTAAAAATGTTGATGTTGCAGCCATTTTTAATTGGTAAACATCTTCCCTGATCCAGGGGTTATTCCCTGTTGGTTTCATCAAATAAACATTCAATTGTTCAAGAGAAATGTTGCTGACAAACCAATAGAAGAGAGAAGGATTTTCTGACTAGTGGATCTTCTGATGAACTGAATCGTCCTCGTGGGAAATAAAAAAGTCTCAAGTGTCGTTCGTTTGTTTCACTTCATGTCACTTATAATCTGAAAAATACAGTAATATTAATCGTTCAGAGACACGATCGCTCAGTCGACAATAAAATCTCCTCATAAACGTTCAATTTGTGACTTTTAAAATATGGGTCCCCAGAAAAAACGTTGGAGAAACACTGATCTGTTTAGTTTTGAGCCGCTGTGCAGCGCAGTGTGTCGTCATTTCAATACAAACATGATCAAAAACCAGACAAAAATAAATTGACGTTAAGTGTTTTAGTCTCGTTCTGGGATCATCTGACATGTTTAACGCCGCCTCCCTCACGTCGTGTGTGTAAAATAAGGCTCATGTTTCACTTTTGGACAGGATTAAGGTTAAGACCCTCCAGAAATAATACTTTTGAACACTTTAGTACTGCACAGATTACTGCAAACACGGCTCAGAGTACGACGAGATTATGAGCCGCGGGATTACGGGAGTTTAAAAGAGCACGGAGCCAAACAAGCGAGTATTCACTCACTTTTCTGATCTGCAAGAGCGCGGGAAAAACCTCAGACGGTAAGGAAACGTGTACTACTACTACTACTACTACTACTACTACTACTACTACTACTACTACTACTACTGCTACTACTACTACTACTACTACTGCTACTACTACTACTACTATTCTGTGCTTTTAGTGAAATACTGAAGTAGTATTTTCTTGTGTTTAGTTGTATGGCCTCTAGGCATGTGCAGTGGGCCTCACCTTTAGGTAAGAGACCTCAGACCGGACCTCAGACCAAAGATCAGACCAGACCTCAGACCTTAGACCAGAGATCAGAACTAAGACCAGATCAGACCTCACACTAGATCAGACTTGAGACCTCTGACCAGACCTCAGACTTCAGACCTTAGACCAGAGATGAGACCAAAGATCAGACTTCAGACCAGATCCGTCCTAAGACCAGACCAGAGATCAGACCTCAGACTTCAAACCTCTGACCAGAGGAGACCTCAAACCAGACCTTAGACCAGACCAAACCAGACCAGATCAGATCTGTGTAAAAGCAGCTCTGCCCTGTCGTAAAAGAAACACACATTTTTGACATTCTTCAGCGTCTGACTGGTCCTGATTTGGTCCTGGTTTAGTCTCGGTTTGAGCCCCTGTTTAGTCCTGATGTAGACCTGGTTTAGTCCTGGTGTAGTCCTGGTTTAGTTCCACTTTTAGACCCTGTTTTAGTGTTAGTGTCAGTGCTGAGCGCCCGGTGTGACCCACTGCATTTTGCTCACAGGCTTTAGTGGTTCTGGTCCAGGGACAGTTTGGATTTAGGACTCGGTGTGAAGTTGAGCGAGACCCGGGTGTGGGAGGGCATCTGATCTAATCCTGTCTGTCCCACACACAGAGAGAGTCACATCAGAACGACACGTTTACCTCCTCAGAGTCGGAGGGTTTTCTACTTTTTAATCCCGAGGAAACTCTTGAGGCTGAAAAACACTAAATATTTTATCTGACGTGTCTTTCGTTTGGACGGTGACGACGTTTTTGGGGCTTAAAAATGCAAAAATCTGAGTGGAAAAGCTAAATACTCTCCGCCGAAGCGTTTCCTTCCGCATGTCGTTTCCATTTCCGTCACGTACGTCACTGTTTTGTTGTGACGACGTTTTATTTGGACTGAACGCAGAAATATTAAGTCAAAAAACGAACCAAAAATATCGACTTAAAACAAGTGAAACGGGACACGAAGAATCTGACTCACAGTTACCTTCTCAAAATATAAAACTTGTGAATGAAAAGCGCTTCGTGGCATCACAATTTGGAACAGAGCGTTTGGAGTTTTGCAAAAATGTGAACGAAACACAACTGCAGCTCTGTTTTTGACGAGGAAACACTGGATTGAAAAACTTGGGGGAAAAAAAATTGAACATGGATCAGAAAACAGTGTCATATGTGAGCCTTAAATCCGAGTCACATTTTGAAGGTGTTTTTTGTTTTGTTGATCATTTAGTTTGTTTTTTTTGGGTGACAGAGATGAACGCTGGAGCCGCCGCCGGAGCCAAAGCTGCTCCTCCCAAGTTTAAGCAGAAGGAGGCGAGACAGTTCAAGAGCAAAGCCCCCAAAGCCGGACAGAAGGGGTGAGTGGACCGAGACGACCAAGGAACGGACTCGATACTCAGTACTTGATACTTGATACTTGATACTCGATACTCGAGACTGACGCACAGTGATGATAAAAAAAAAAAAAAAAAAACTCTTTCTTTAAACTGCAGAAAGTGATTTTCCACATTTAATTGTAAAACTTTCTTTTCTATTCCCATGTGGCCTCATCCCTCAGTGGTCCAGATCTAAACCAGGTCTAAACCAGGTCTAAACCAGGTCTAAACCAGGTCTAAACCCTAAACCAGGTCTAAACCAGGTCTAAACCAGGTCTAAACCAGGTCTAAACCAGGTCTAAACCAGGTCTAAACCAGGTCTAAACCAGATCTAAACCAGGTCTAAACCAGGACTAAACCAGGTCTAAACCAGGTCTAAACCAGGTCTAAACCAGGTCTAAACCAGGTCTAAACCAGGTCTAAACCAGGTCTAAACCAGATCTAAACCAGGTCTAAACCAGGATCTAAACCAGGTCTAAACCAGGTCTAAACCAGGTCTAAACCAGGTCTAAACCAGGTCTAAACCAGGTCTAAACCAGGATCTAAACCAGGTCTAAACCAGGTCTAAACCAGGTCTAAACCAGGTCTAAACCAGGTCTAAACCAGGTCTAAACCAGGTCTAAACCAGGTCTAAACCAGGTCTAAACCAGGTCTAAACCAGGTCTAAACCAGGTCTAAACCAGGATCTAAACCAGGTCTAAACCAGGTCTAAAACCAGGTCTAAACCAGGACTAAACCAGGTCTAAACCAGGTCTAAACCAGGACTAAACCAGGTCTAAACCAGGTCTAAACCAGGTCTAAACCAGGACTAAACCAGGTCTAAACCAGGACTAAACCAGGTCTAAACCAGGTCTAAACCAGGTCTAAACCAGGTCTAAACCAGGTCTAAGCCAGGACTAAACCAGGTCTACACCAGGTCTAAACTAAACCAGGTCTGAACCAGGTCCAGGTCGGTACAGACTGACTTGAGCTCGGATCTCTATGTGCGAGTAAAAGTTCATTTTGTGGTTTTTTTGGTCTTAGGTTTGACAACGACGTTCCGGGGATGGACGGACTTGGAGGTGAGAGAAACGGGAAAACGGTTTATGTCTGGGATGTTTAGTTTCCTTCTCTTGTGTTTTTTGTAGTTCAGTAAATTGTCTTATTTTTTTATTTTATTGTCTTTATTTTTGCAGACTCGGCCGTGGTTTGTCCCTGGGAGGCGTTCGGCGACATGGAGCTGAGTGACCTGGCGCAGTTCGGCATCGTTTAAAATCACAAAAATGAAGCTCAGTCCTCCTCGGTTTGTCTTCGACGTAGCAGAGTTCTATTTTCATCATTATTTCTGTTCAAACAAATCTATATTTTATTATGTAAACGTTTGAGAGCAGTTTGCAGTTGTGTAAATAAAAGTGTTTTAGTGCGTGACCTGTTTGTGTGTCCTTGGGCAGAACACTTCCCTTCGCGCCCTCGGGGTCTGCGTGTTCCCAGTGAACGAGGCCAAACCGGATCAGAGAGCAGCTAATGTCGTGCGCCTGATTCGAAGTGTGTTTAAGTTTGAAGTGAAGTTTATCATGTCACTTCCTGATTGGATAACGGTTACCTAGCAACCGTAATGTAAACAAGAAAGAAAACAAGTCAGAAAGACAAAAAAAAAAAACTGATTTGACTCAAATAAAAGACGACAGATTCATTTTGGTGAATTTTTAAACTAAACATGGACTAAACCTGAACTAAACCTAGACTAAACCAGGACTAAACCAGGACTAAACCTGGACTAAACCTGGACTAAACCTTGGACTAAACTTGGACTAAACCTGGACTAAAGCTGAACTAAACCTAGACTAAACCTGAACTAAACCTAGACTAAACCAGGACTAAACCTGGACTAAACTTGGACTAAACTTGGACTAAACTTGGACTAAACCTGGACTAAACCTGGACTAAACCAGGACTAAACCAGGACTAAACTTGGACTAAACTTGGACTAAACCTGGACTAAACCAGGATTAAACCTGGACTAAACCTGGACTAAACCTGGACTAAACCTAGACTAAACCTGGACTAAACCAGGACTAAACCAGGACTAAACTTGGACTAAACCTGGACTAAACCTACTAAACCTGGACTAAACCTGGACTAAACCTGGACTAAACCAGGACTAAACCTGGACTAAACCTAGACTAAACCTGGACTAAACCAGGACTAAACATGGACTAAACCAGGACTAAACAGGACTAAACATGGACTAAACCAGGACTAAACCTGGACTAAACCAGGACTAAACCTGGACCAAACCTGGACCAAACCTGGACTAAACCAGAACTAAACCCGGTAATACAGGAAGTGCTCCATTGTGCCGCAATAACACAACATGAGAGAGATTTCGATTGAACTGTGATGTTAAAAAGATGTTCAACAGAATGTGGGGAGGGCATCTGACTCACAGAAGGAGGGTTATTAGGGTTGTTACTGAAGCTGGTTTATTCTGATAGAAACTGGGATACAGTGACATGTAAACGCAGTATCCCGGTTACTGCAGCATAAAGTTGAGTCAGATGCGTCCAAAAGACACTTTCCAGTCTTTTTATCTCAACAGTAGCGACATAAATAAAGTGATCATACATGAGAGAAATGAGTGTAAAATAAAGAGCTGCTCTAAACCTGCACACGTACAATCTGCACTCGTGTGACGCTGAAAAGTTAAAACATGTACGACACACACACAGAACAGACTCACCATCATCAGCACCTCTTCTGTCACAAAAACAACTCACATAATCCACTGAGTCGAGTCATTTAGTCCGACAGAAGCTGAACCACATCAGCGGCACAAGGAGCAGCTGATTTTATCACCACTAACAGTTTATGCTAATTAGCCTGCAATTCTGTAAAACAAATGTGATCAGAGTTGAATTATATTTTCAAACCTGCTGATGTGGATCGAGATCAGGAGAGTCAAACTCATTTTGTTCTGGGGGTCGTGTCCAATCGACTTTGATCCAAAGTGTCCGGATCAGAACTCAAGTCATATAAACCCCAAAAATAACAAGAAGTTCAAATATTTGTGCAGAGAAACACAAATCTATTACAGAAATCTTTTTTGAATTGATGAACTCTTTCTTTTACAAAATATTATAATATTATGAACAACCTGAAACTTTAAGAAAAATACAATTTCAACACAAAGTTTGAACATGAACTTGTCTGTAAACAGGAATAAGTCCATTTTTGTTGTAAAATCCTGCACTCGGCTCCACTTTTCTCATGTTGGACATTTTTCTGATGAGGGTGTCACGGTCAACAGTCAAAACGATCGTCCTTTAAGAGCGTTTGGAAAGAGACAAGTCTTCATTTGTGCTGCTCTGGTGGGAGGGGCCACGTACAGAGACGCTGGAGACGCTGCTGTGATAAACACCACAGAAAATTAACACCATTTTAATAGAAAATATCATTCAAATATTTAAGTAGAAAATCAGCCGAGGGCCAGATTAAAGGTCTTGGAGGGCCGGATCTGGCCCCCGGGCCGTATGTTTGACACCTGTGGTCTAGAGTGGTTCTGGTTTATATGTTGTAAAGTTGAGTTTATTTATGCAGAAGATTTGACTGAAGAATCTGTAGGTTTGATGTGTGCAGTGGATTGTGGGATTCTCACGCTGCTTAAACCTTCTGAGCTTCTGACACTAAATGAACTCATGGTTTGTATTTTTCCTGGTTTATTAAATTGATTTAAGTTCATTTTTGCACTTGTGCATTTGTAAGATTATGTCAAGAAACCGGGACACTGCATTTGATCATGTCCACGGGGATATGAGTGTCCAGGTTTGTCAGTGCACAAACACAGTGTCCAGAACACTGACAGAACCTGGATATGGATCATAACCGGGATCCTGATGTGCATGTGAACACACTCAGTGTTGACTGATCGTGTCTCTGAACATTAGTTTTACTCAAGTTTTAAACCATGAAAAACAGTCACTGAAGCAGAAATAAAAGGATCCATAAGTCTCCTGAAGTGCACTGACCTTTGCTGATTCATCAGCTTCTTTTTGGATAAACAAGCTGCATTTCTCAACTTTACCTGCAGAAACACTGAGAGTTTTCACTGACTCAGCAGCTCCCTCATGTGTCAGAACTGTGTATTACAGATCTACATGCAGGTCGAGACAAGGTGACCCCAAAAAAATCTTTTGCGACCCGGTCGCTGTAAATAAAAAGTAGAAATTTGTCTGCAGCTCTTTGAAAACTGTTGTTAAAATTTGCTGTAGAAATAAAGTGGACGGGATTTAGTTTGAATGAAAAACAGACACAGAAATGAATCTGAATGAGACTTTTATTACAGACTGAGCAGTGACACGGGCCCGGGGGGCGGCGTGACGGGCCCGGGGGGCGGCGTCACGGGCCCGGGGGCGGCGTGACGGGCCCGGGGGGCGGCGTCACGGGGCCGGGGGGCGGCGTGACGGCCCGGGGGCGGCGTCACGGGGGCCGGGGGGGCGGCGTGACGGACCCGGGGGCGGCGTCACGGGCCCGGGGGGCGGCGTGACGGACCCGGGGCGGCGTCACGGGCCCGGGGGGGCGGCGTCACGGGGCCGGGGGGCGGCGTCACGGGCTCAGCAGATCCCTACACTACTTATTTTAAATATTAAATTAATCCAGATCCTAAAAACCAAACGCCGTACAATGTTTACAATTTACAGGAACACCGGACTTTAGGCAGGATCAACAAGAAACAACACAGACGCACAACCAGGTCTGAACCAGGTCTGAACCAGGTCTAAACCAGGTCTGAACCAGGTCTAAACCAGGTCTAAACCAGGTCTAAACCAGGTCTAAACCAGGTCTGAACCAGGTCTAAACCAGGTCTGAACCAGGTCTAAACCAGGTCTAAACCAGGTCTAAACCAGGTCTGAACCAGGTCTAAACCAGGTCTAAACCTGGTCCGAACCAGGTCCAAACCCGGTCTAAACCCGGTCTAAACCCGGTCTGAACCAGGTCTAAACCAGGTCTAAACCAGGTCTGAACCAGGTCTAAACCAGGTCTAAACCTGGTCCGAACCAGGTCCAAACCCGGTCTAAACCCGGTCTAAACCCGGTCTGAACCAGGTCTAAACCAGGTCTAAACCAGGTCTGAACCAGGTCTAAACCAGGTCTAAACCAGGTCTAAACCCGGTCTGAACCCGGTCTGGTTAAACGATGCCAAACTGCGCCAGGTCGCTCAGCTCCATGTCTCCGAACGCCTCCCAGGGACAAACCACCTCAGCGCCTGAAAAACAAAAATGCATTTACAAGATTTTTAAGATGTAAATTCCACAAAACAACTCTTGCCACCTTCAAGTTTCTACTTAAACGAGCGGCTAAAGAAAAACAGACTTGTGGACACTTTTAGTATAGATTTGTTACTTGTTTTTGTTTTGTTTAAGTTTGTGGTGTTTCCTGCCGAGGGACGACAGATGGAAATGTTGAGTCTTGCTATAATCTGGCATATTTACACTGCAATGTTGTAGATGTTCATTAATATGCACTGATCCCTATTAATTAAATAAATAAATAAATAAAAATAAATTTGTTTCGGTAAAATACAGAAAATCTGCTTAAAAACGACCAAAACACAAAGAAAATGTGATTTAACTGCCTCACGTTTGTCATGAATGAGTCGAGGGCAGAAAGATTCTCCTTAATTACGACTCGTTTCACAGTTTTATTTTTACCAACCACCACAAACCGAGACTGTCCTAGTTTTTTATTTAGAAAATCTGGTCACTCTTCACTAGTTCCACAGAGCTGATCAGTCCTGAGTTTCCACACTTTTCATTTTTCTTTTCTTTCTTTCTTTTCTCAGAGACGTAAATCACAAAAAACAAGGTGCATCTCACAGTTACACAATATGGAAAAGTCTGTTATTTCTCTTTTGTTTCTCACCTCCGAGTCCGTCCATTCCAGGAACATCATCGAATCTGGAAAACACGAAAGCAAAAATCATTCCCAAAGACAACAAACACACGTGTGTGCGTCATTATTCTTCCGTTTCAGTTGAAGTCCTTTCATTCGTCAGGAGATTTTCTGAGTTTTGTAAAAGTTTCTGTTAGAATCTGTCATTATTCGTTGATTTCAAATCGGGGCGGAACTGGATTCATCGCAACAAGAATCAAAAATCACAATGAAAACAAACAAAATGAAGAAATCACCAAGGCTCACAAATCTGAAGTCCCATCATTTCCTCCACAAACCAAATCTGCTGCTTTATGCTGCATAAAAAGCTGCTAAACCTGTAGTTTTAAATCTGTTCAAACATGTGCTGAAACATCCCCGTGTGTCAGATGCCCTCCCTGCGTCTCCACGTTCTGAAATGTGATTTTTGTGCTCGTTTGTCGGTTCAGATTTCAGTCTTTTCGGCGACGTTTATACGATGACGTCCGAAACAGGAGACGCGAAAAAAAGTGGCGTCGTGTTTTCACTTTTTATTCTACGTTGAGACGAGCGTTTTCAGGAGGAAACCTGCGTGTGTGGAATTGGATTGTGTGTGCATGTCAGGCAGCTCGTGGTGACTCTACTTGGTGATGTTTGTGACGTAAACGCGTACGTGACCTGAGCACATGTGACCAGAGTTTTGCGTCTTGGGCAGTGTAGACGGAAACACTACGGCGGAGCGTGTTCAACTTTTACACTCTGGAGGTAGTTTCAGATTTTTGCGTTTTTAAGCTCCAAAAACGCCGTCACCGTCTAAATGAAAGGCACCTCCCATAGAATAACTGGTCGTTTTTACGTTCAGTCTGCACCTGAAGTGACACAGATCTGATTTTTCATCCCTATGTTCCTGTATCGGATCTTTTAATGTCAGTCTGAACCACACAGATCCAATTTTTTCAAATACGTGACCCAGGACACTTGGATCTGTGCTCCTGAAACTGATCCATATCTGATCTTTGACATGTGACTTGAGTGTGAACAGTCAGGTCACATTCATCCACCTACACGACAGGCCCCGAGTCTCGTCAGTGGAGGGAAAGCGAGGTCAGAGAGTTTATTCATATTTGTGGGGATCGTTGTATTTGGGTCAAATTGGAGGGGCCTTATCGGGAAGCGGACGTTTTTCAATTAGTGCTGTCATGCGATTAAAAAAATGGAGAGATTAATTAATTATGATCTGTAATTAATTAATCTAATTAATCTCATTTTAATCTCACCTAAAAATTGCTGAGAAAAGCTTCAATTTGAGGTATTTTCATTTAAATTCATTATTACATTATTGTGGCAGATCAAAAGACTGATATAGAACAAAAAAAAGTGACTTTATAAAGTCATTTATTGTTTAACAAATGTCTCCAATTTGTCTGTTGAGCCCAAGTCTCCATGAATAAGAAACTGTTTACTGTAAAGTAGCAAAGACGAGGAAATCTGAACATAATAACTTTTGTCGACTTAAAGACAATAAAAAGTCCAGTCTTTCCTTAACCAGATTAAAAATATTATTGATAGAGAAATGCTTTATACATGAGATCACTGGTTTTAGTCCTGGTTTTAGTCCTGGTTTAGACCTGCTTTAGTCCTAGTTTAGTCCTGGAATGGATTAATCCTGGTTTTAGTCCTGGTGTTAGTTCTGGTTTAGTCCTGGTTTAGACCTGGTTTAGACCTGGACTGGATTAGTCCTGGTTTTAGTCTTGGTGTTAGTTCTGGTTTAGAGGCACAGGAGGAAGCTCGGTTTATGCAGCGAGAAAACACGATCCACACGCGGCTCACGGGAGCAGGTCAGTGTCCACACAGCGACTACGGAAGGAAACATGGTCCACGCTTTCTCATGTGTGTGTGTGTGTGTGTTGATGATGATGTGTGTGTGAGTGTGTGAATTTGTGTGTGTGTGTGTGTGTGTGTGTGTGTGTGTGTGTGTGTGTGTGTGTGTGTGTGTGTGTGTGTGTGTGTGTGTGTGTGTGTGTGTGTGTGTGTGTGTGTGTGTGTGTGTGTGTGTGTGTGTGTGTGTGTGTGTGTGTGTGTGTGTGTGTGTGTGTGTGTGTGTGTGTGTGTGTGTGTGTGTGTGTGTGTGTGTGTGTGTGTGTGTGTGTGTGTGTGTGTGTGTGTGTGTGTGTGTGTGTGTGTGTGTGTGTGTGTGTGTGTGTGTGTGTGTGTGTGTGTGTGTGTGTGTGTGTGTGTGTGTGTGTGTGTGTGTGTGTGTGTGTGTGTGTGTGTGTGTGTGTGTGTGTGTGTGTGTGTGTGTGTGTGTGTGTGTGTGTGTGTGTGTGTGTGTGTGTGTGTGTGTGTGTGTGTGTGTGTGTGTGTGTGTGTGTGTGTGTGTGTGTGTGTGTGTGTGTGTGTGTGTGTGTGTGTGTGTGTGTGTGTGTGTGTGTGTGTGTGTGTGTGTGTGTGTGTGTGTGTGTGTGTGTGTGTGTGTGTGTGTGTGTGTGTGTGTGTGTGTGTGTGTGTGTGTGTGTGTGTGTGTGTGTGTGTGTGTGTGTGTGTGTGTGTGTGTGTGTGTGTGTGTGTGTGTGTGTGTGTGTGTGTGTGTGTGTGTGTGTGTGTGTGTGTGTGTGTGTGTGTGTGTGTGTGTGTGTGTGTGTGTGTGTGTGTGTGTGTGTGTGTGTGTGTGTGTGTGTGTGTGTGTGTGTGTGTGTGTGTGTGTGTGTGTGTGTGTGTGTGTGTGTGTGTGTGTGTGTGTGTGTGTGTGTGTGTGTGTGTGTGTGTGTGTGTGTGTGTGTGTGTGTGTGTGTGTGTGTGTGTGTGTGTGTGTGTGTGTGTGTATAGGACAGTAGTGCAGACATCATGAGTCTATGCAGGTTGTTTTCACCAGTGACATTTAAGTTGTAGGTGATTTTATATTTGTTATTTTCTTTTATATTTCACGTCGGGAGAAGAATTGTGTTTTTCCCTGTGCTCTGCTGCTCTGTTCTACTGGCTCTTCCACCTCGTCCATTGTGCGACTTTGACGCCGTAAACGTCGCTCTTACTGCGCGTGTTTTGTGTGGGTTTCCGACAATGAGTGGAATTGCCGAAATTAAAAAATGTATAAATGTGTTTTTTGTTTGTGTGTGTGTGTTGTTGTCCCAACAACACATAAAAACAGGTTTTATAATAAAGCAACTCGCATACAGAAACAGTAAAGTTGGAGATTAAAAATGAGATTAACGTGATTAAAAAACATAACGCGCTAAATATGACTGTAATTAATTAATCGCAATTAACGCGATAATTTGACACCCCTATTTTCAATGTCCGAGCGCGGCTACAGGTGGACCTGACTCCAATGTCAACGAAAAATAAAGAGCCTGCGAGACAAACACGAGGAGGATAAAGTCTCAAACAAACGAAGCGGCCGTGGACGTGTGACCTGAACATTTTACCAACAACTAAACTGGATTTTGAGAGACGAGCTCAGAGTTTAGACGACTTTGCTGAGGTGGGGCGTTTAAAGTTCACACTGGAGGTCACACACAAATCACTTTTAAATGGAAATATGAAGTAGAGGTCTGCGCGGGACAGAATTTTCACCCCTCCTCACCCCTTCTGTCCGGCTTTGGGGGCTTTGCTCTTGAACTGCCTCGTCTCCTTCTGCTTGAACTTGGGAGGAGCAGCTTTGCTTCCACCGGGGGCAGCGCCTGCGTTCATCTCTGTCACCCAAGAAAAAAAACAACAAGGATTCAACAAGGAAACATCTGACCCTCTCCTGTAGTAGTAGTAGTACAGTAGTAGAAGTAGTAGTAGTAGTAGTAGTTGCTGTAGTAGTAGTAGTAGTACTCTAAACATGTGTCTCAGTTTCAGAGTAGTTTCAGAGTAGTTTCGGTGTAGTTTCAGAGTAGTTTCGGTGTAGTTTCAGTGTAGTTTCAGAGGAGTTTCAGTGTAGATTCAGACTAGATTCAGACTAGTTTCAGTGTAGTTTCAGAGTAGTTTCAGAGTAGTTTCGGTGTAGTTTCAGAGTAGTTTCAGAGTAGTTTCAGTGTAGTTTCAGAGTTATTTCAAAGTAGTTTCAGTGTAGTTTCAGAGGAGTTTCAGTGTAGATTCAGAGTAGATTCAGTGTAGTTTCAGAGTAGTTTCAGAGTAGTTTCAGTGTAGTTTCAGAGTTATTTCAGAGTAGTTTCAGAGTAGTTTCAGTGTAGTTTCAGAGTTATTTCAGAGTAGTTTCAGTGTAGTTTCAGAGTAGTTTCAGAGTAGTTTCGGTGTAGTTTCAGAGTAGTTTCAGTGTAGTTTCAGAGTTATTTCAGAGTAGTTTCAGTGTAGTTTCAGAGGAGTTTCAGTGTAGATTCAGACTAGATTCAGAGTAGATTCAGTGTAGTTTCAGAGTAGTTTCAGAGTTATTTCAGAGTAGATTCAGAGTTGTTTCAGTGTAGTTTCAGAGTAGTTTCAGTGTAGTTTCAGTGTAGTTTCAGAGTAGTTTCGGTGTAGTTTCAGAGTAGTTTCAGTATAGTTTCAGAGTAGTTTCAGTGTAGTTTCAGAGGAGTTTCAGTGTAGTTTCAGTGTAGTTTCGGTGTAGTTTCAGTGTAGTTTCAGTGTAGTTTCAGAGTTATTTCAGTGTAGTTTCAGAGTAGTTTCAGTGTAGTTTCAGAGGAGTTTCAGAGTTATTTCAGTGTAGTTTCAGAGGAGTTTCAGTGTAGTTTCAGAGGAGTTTCAGGGTAGTTTCAGAGGAGTTTCAGGGTAGTTTCAGAGGAGTTTCAGTATAGTTTCAGAGTAGTTTCAGTGTAGTTTCAGAGGAGTTTCAGTGTAGTTTCAGTGTAGTTTCGGTGTAGTTTCAGTGTAGTTTCAGTGTAGTTTCAGAGTTATTTCAGTGTAGTTTCAGAGTTATTTCAGTGTAGTTTCAGAGGAGTTTCAGTGTAGTTTCAGAGGAGTTTCAGTGTAGTGAGCGCCCCCTGCAGGCAGATATAAGACAGTGCCCTCCAGTGTTGAATGTCCTTTTCCCTGTCAGTAATAATAGTAATAGTACAAACATGTTGACAGGTGCTGATCCTGTCACACTGATTGGATTTTCAGATTTGACGCGTTACATAAGTTACATAAGTCTATAATCTGCAGATGTTCTCATGGTGTTTTGTGTCTCAGCGTTTCTACGGCAACGTGGCTCAAACGCTCAAATCCTATTGGCTCAGAGTCAACGCCATTTTGATATTTTGAGAGAAACGACTCGCACGACTGAAATAATGATCCAAATGATTCTGGTGAAGGTGTGTGGAGTTTAAAAACACAGTGGAGCACTTCATGTATCGCCACAGGATGACATCACAAGGTGGAAGAGAGTGTTTTTAGTTTGGAGGGAAGAGCTTGGTCTAAATGTGCAGGGTTTGTGCTTTAAGCATGTGAATTTTTTTGTGTAAATGTGTGTAAATGTGTGTGAATGTGTGTGTAAATGTGTGTGAATGTGTGTGTAAATGTGTGTGAATGTGTGTGTAAATGTGTGTGAATGTGTGTGTGTGTGTAAATGTGTGTGTAAATGTGTGTGTAAATGTGTGTGAATGTGTGTGTAAATGTGTGTGAATGTGTGTGTAAATGTGTGTGAATGTGTGTGTAAATGTGTGTGAATGTGTGTGTAAATGTGTGTAAATGTGTGTGTAAATGTGTGTGTAAATGTGTGTGAATGTGTGTGTAAATGTGTAAATGTGTGTGTAATGTGTGTGTATGTGAATGTGTGTGTGTGTGAAATGTGTGTGTAAATGTGTGTGTAAATGTGTGTGAATGTGTGTGTAAATGTGTGTGTAAATGTGTGTGAATGTGTGTGTAATGTGTGTGTGTGTGAATGTGTGTGTAAATGTGTGTGAATGTGTGTGAATGTGTGTGTAAATGTGTGTGAATGTGTGTGTAAATGTGTGTGTAAATGTGTGTGAATGTGTGTGTAAATGTGTGTAAATGTGTGTGTAAATGTGTGTGAATGTGTGTGTAAATGTGTGTGAATGTGTGTGTAAATGTGTGTAAATGTGTGTAAATGTGTGTGTAAATGTGCGTTTTATTCTCTGGCAGTTTCATAAATCTGCCTCATCACCAAATCTTCAACCAACAAACTCCACAAAGGATAAATACGGAAGCCCTGAGTGGCAAGAGAAAAAAAATTTAAATAAAAAATAAATAAATAAATAAATAAAATTAAAAAATAAATAAATAAATAAAAAATAGGCTCGTCGTTTGGGCTCTAATTTCTAAGTGTTTCAATTTTAATTTTTATTTATTTGTTTATTTATTTGTATATATATTTTTTGCACTAACAACTAAATTTTTCAATTTATTTTTTAAATTGTTAATGTGGCTGATTAAAAAAAAAAACAATCTTCAGATTGTTTTCCCAGTATATTCGTGTAAATATCAAACTCCACCACTAAATATAAATATTGTTGTTTTTTTTGTTTTGTTTGTTTGTTTTTTCTCAAACCACATCAACAATAAAAAATTAAAAAAAAATAAAATAACAATAATAATAATAATAATAATAATAATAATAATAATAATAATAATAATTTAAAAATACCCGTGGGGGGGGGGAGTATTTATTTATTTTATTATTTTTAGATTTTTTTTTTTTGAGTTTTTTTTTTTTTTTTTTTTTTTTAGAAAAGAAAAGAAAAATACTTAAAAAATAGAGCCCAAATGATGAGCACTAAACTCATGTTCTGATCATGAATAAAACAGAAGGAACTTGTTCACTCAGACTCATTCTATTGTTAAAATTAAAAATCGGTTTCATGATGAGGATTTTGCACAAATTACATGTGGTATCAAAAATACAAATGACTTGAATTAGAGTTTCATTTTGAGAAAAATCATAGAAATAAGAAAAATCTTAGAAATGTGGGAACATAAAGCTAACCCGTGCGTGTGAATAATGTGGCTCGTTGTTGCCTTTAAGTTTTGTTCTTTCTTCTCTTAATCGTTGTGGATAAATTGTTCATGAAGAATGTTTCTCCGTTATGGAGTTTGTTGGTTGAAGATTTGGTGATGGAGCAGATTTATGAACACACACATTTACACATTTACACATTTACACAGAAAAATGCACATGTTTAACGCACAAACCTGCACATTTAGACCAAGCTCTACTCTCAAAACTGAAAACATTCTGTTCCACCTTGTGATGTCATCGTGTGGTGATACATGAAGTATCTCCACACACCTTCACCAGAATCATCTGGATCATTACAGATCGAATTTCTTCACCGATCTCGACTGAACCTAAGGCAAACGGAGCTGTTCACTTGAAAACTACCACTTCATGACATCACAAGGTGGAACAGAGCGTTTTGAGCTTTGGAGATGTAAACAGATTCATGATAAAAGGTTCAGTCCTGATTTAGTCCTGGTCCAGTTCTGTTTTAGTTTTTTTCTTTTAGTCCTTGTTTAGTTTTGTTTTAGTCCTGGTCCAGTCCTGGTTTAGTCCTGGTTCAGTCCTGGTTTAGTCTTGTTTTAGTCCTGATTTAGTCCTTGTTTAGACCTGTTTTAGTCCTGGTTCAGTCCTGGTTTAGTCCTGGTTTAGTCCTGGTTCAGTCCTGGTTTAGTCCTGGTTCAGTCCTGGTTCAGTCCTGGTTCAGTCCTGGTTCAGTCCTGGTTTAGTCCTGGTTCAGTCCTGGTTTAGTCCTGGTTTAGTCCCGGTCTCGTACCTGCAGTGGTTTGAGGCTGGAGTTGTTGGATTCGTTGGAGTCGTTGGAATCGAGCGAACGAGCAAAACAAAGAGTGTGACTCTTTCTTTTTGCCGTGTCTCTGAGGAGCCGCGGCTCGTTGGGCTTTTATACGGCTCACGCTGAAGCCGCTGCCGCCGCCGCTGCTATTCTGAGCTAATCCCGCCCAACCTCAGGACGCCACGCCACCTTCACTCCTCAGATGTTCTGTGGACCGTAAAAGACTTCAGCTCATTAGACCCGCTCAGTTTAGATCGTTCCAACGCTAATGTGTGACCCCTGACCCCTGACCCCAGACCCTGACCCCAGACAACACCAGGACCAACGAGACCCAACTCAGACCCGCTTTAGTCCTGGTTGAGATCTGGAAGAGTCCTGTTCTAATTCTGGGTTCTATTTGTGCTTTAGTCCTGGTTCAGTCCTGGTTCAGTCCTGGTTTAGTTCTGGTTCAGTCCTAATTTAGTCCTGGTTCAGTCCTGCTTTAGTCCTGCTTTAGTCCTGATTTAATCCTAGTCTAGTTCTAGTTCAGTCCTGGTTTAGACCTGGTTTAGACCTGGTTTAGTCCTGGTTTAGTCCTGGTTTAGTCCTGGTTTAGTCCTGGTTTAGAGCTGGTTTAGACCTGGTTTAGTCCTGGTTTAGTCCTGGTTTAGACCTGGTTTAGTCCTGGTTTAGTCCTGGTTTAGACCTGGTTTAGTCCTGGTTTAGACCTGGTTTAGACCTGGTTTAGACCTGGTTTAGACCTGGTTTAGGCCTGTTTTTTCCTTCCACTTGCACACATTTTAAAGCTGCAGTGTGTAACCTTTCTTGTGGGAGGGGTTTGTGCCTTCTGCTCGTCTCCATGGCGATGATGCTGCTTTCTGGAATGTTCTGTCTGTTTGTGACCTCTGTTTTTACGGCTCAAACACACACCTGCCGTCACAGTGAGTGGGCTCGCCGCTCCACAGATCTGACCGCTGACCTGCCCTGGGGGCGTCGCCTGTTTGTTTCCATGGCGACAGTGAGGCGTGGGATTAAGGT